ATGAAAGTATCAGAGGAGGTGTGGACAGGCAGTGAGGTAGACTACTCTGGTTTGAGAGTGTTTGGATGTCCAGCCTATGTAAATGTTTCTAGTGAGGAGAGATCGAAGTTTGATGCGAAGTCTAGACAGTGTATCTTTCTGGGATATCAGAAAGGAGTGAAAGGCTTCAAGCTCTAGGATCCGAAGGCAAACAAGATGGTGATCAGTAGAGATGTGGTTTTTGATGAAAAAGCCATGTTGTAGCGTACTCAGGAAGAAGAGAAACAAGTACCAGAAAACTGTAGCACTAATGACCATGTGGTGCAGGTGGAGCTAGAGAATCATGGTAAAGAAGAGGATGCTCAGCATGTAGAGCGTTCTATCTCAGGTGATCAACAACATCATAGTATAGCCACAGACAGGTCCAAATGCAATATCAAGCCACCTACCAGGTATGATTTTGAAGATTTGGTTTCTTATGCGCTTATTACTAGTAGCGGGGATCTTACAACTTTTCAGGAGGCAGTACAAAGCCAAGAGAAAAGTAGATGGATGGGTGCTATGGTGGAGGAGATGGAGTCTCTGTATAAGAACCAGACGTGAGAGTTGGTGGAACTTCCCGAGGGGAAGAGAGCAATAGGGTGCAAATGGGTGTATAAGAAGAAAGAAGCAGTATCAGAAAATGAGGGAGAAAAATTCAAGGTTCGTCTAGATGCAAAGGGTTACTCACAGAGAAAAGGGGTTGACTATGATGAGATCTTCTTCCCCGTGGTCAGACACACTTTCATCAGGACAGTGTTGGCACTAGTAGCACATTCAGACATGCAGTTTGAGCAGATGGATGTAAAGACAACTTTCTTTCATGGCGACTTGGAGGAACGGATTTACATGGTACAACCAGAAGGGTTCAGTCTCCCTGGAGAGGAACATTTGGTCTGTAATTTGAAGAAATCACTTTATGGGCTAAAGCAGTCTCCGAGGCAGTGGTACAAACGATTTGACTCTTACATGATCCGAATTGGCTACAAAAGGTGTGAGTATGATTGTTGTGTCTATGTAAAAGGGCTTGATGATGATTCATTTATTTTTCTGTTACTTTATGTGGATGATATGTTGATTGCTGCTAAGAGTATGAGTGGGGTCAACAAGTTGAAGACTTTGTTGAGTAGAGAATTTGACATGAAGGATTTGGGTACGGCCAAGAAGATTCTTGGGATGGAGATTTGCAGGGACAGAGCTTCCAGGAGATTATGACTATCTCAGCATAGCTATGTTGAGAAGATGTTGGACAGGTTCAGCATGAGTTATGCAAAATCAGTAAGTACACCTTTGGCCAATTATTTCAGATTGTCTATCGCTCAGTGCCCGAAGACAGATGATGAAGTTCATGACATGTCAAAGGTCCCATATGCTAGTGCGGTGGGGTGTTTAATGTATGCTATGGTTTGTACAAGACCAGATTTGCACAAGCTGTCAGCGTGGTTAGCAAGTTTCTTTCAAATCCGGGTCGACAGCATTGGGATGCAGTCAAGTGGATTTTCAGATACTTGAGGGGCACTACAAACTATGACATCAGGTTTAGCAGACAACAGAGTGACCCTTCAGTTATGGGATATGTGGATGCAGACTATGCAGGGGACTTGGATGACAGGAGGTCTACCACAGGTTATGTGTTTACTCTTGTGGGAGGACCTATTTGTTGGAAGTCCATGGTACAACCTATAATTGCACTATCTACTACTGAGTCAGAGTATATGGCAGTAGCTGAGGCTGCCAAAGAGGCTTTGTGGCTTACAGGTTTAGTCAAGGAGCTGGGTGCCCAACAAGGTGGAGTTCAATTGCATTGTGACAGTCAGAGTGTCATTTATTTGGCAAAGAATCAGGTGTATCATGCGAGGACCAAACATATAGATGTGAGGTTTCATAAGATCAGGGAACTGGTTTCTTCTGGTGAACTATTACTTGAGAAAGTTCACACTTCTGAGAATGCAGCAGACATGTTGACAAAGCCTGTTACTACAGACAAGTTCAAGCACTGCTTGGACTTGATTAATGTCTCTAGTTGCAAGATGGGAGATGCCTCAACTCAGCGTCCCCGGTGGAGTTCCCGAATACATGTTCTTTTTTTTTTTCTTCTAAGGGGTGAATATTTGCCAAGGTGAAGATTGTTAGAGTATGTGTGACTCATATTTGCTGTGTGCATAATGGCAAAGAGGCAGATGCCGAAGCGGAGCCTGCGACGGCATCTGCCTTGCAGGATTGATATAAAGGGGACGCTGATTAGTTGGGGGTGCGGGGGCAACGCCCTCGCGGTACGGTACAGGGGTATTTTTGTAAATACGTCCATATTAGGGTTATATAAATACTTAAGATGTAACCCTATTCTATAATGGAAAAGAACGGCCGCTCGCTCTCGTGGATGTAGGCACATTGCCGAACCACGTAAATCTCTGTGTGTTATTTTCTCCTGCTTTCTTAATTGTTTGATTCCTTACTATTCACCATAATTGCTGCACGATCACAACATTTTGCAATAGGAAAGGGATATTTGTTCTAAATTACTTGTTCCAGTCAAAATTTCTGAGAGAAAAACACTAGGCCAACCACACAAGGGACGGACCAGTGACAATGCTGTGTAATGACATTAACCACAGAAGCGAGTAATCATCATGTTTATGTGTTAAAATATTTGCTACAGTTTACTATTATTTAGACTGGCAACATCACTTTGATAAAATGGCACAAAGACTTTTGCTTCCAATTTAAAGTGAATTGCCCTCTAAATCTTACTAATCTGCGGAAACTAAGCTTGATTTCGTGTTAAGATTCAGCTCCAAAGTGTATTGAGTAGCTTCTAAACTTCTACTTTATATCCTTGCAAATTTGACTTCTAAAATTGCTTACTAACATCCAAAATAAAAGGGAGATAAACAAAACCCCCCAAAAAATGTGGCATTGCTCGCTTAGTATTTTGATGGCAACATGACTAGAAAGAAAGAAAAACAAAAGAACAGATGCAATCCCAGAAATTAATTTAGTTCAGTTAACATTTTGCATAATTTTGACTCTGCTGATTTCAATAGAAGCATTTTACTAACCATGACTTCCCTCAGTATTGTAGTAACCGGACTGTGATTATCAGAGACTTCAGATGCAATTACTTGTTGGTTGTTGCGTGTGTGTGTGTGTATATATATATATATATATAGGACAAGACACAGCCAAAAAAAGATCCCCATCAAGATTTGTGCACAAATTAAATAACAGATAGGAACCAGTAACCATCTTTCCTCTTTACATTAAATAGTCACACAGCGTGATGAATCTTCCAAGGCTTAGTCTTGTAGCAATCAACTACTAAATGCAACCACTGGCATTGATACTTTTTCCGAAAAGAAGGAAATACACCTTCAGACTTCCGGCATTCAAAAAAAAAACCTGAATTTTGTCGATTTGAGATCTATATAAACATGTAGCGTGGTAATCCATAGGGCGTTATTAGTTATCTGATTTGAACCTAAGTTAATTAATACTACCTACAAGAATGCTTGTTCTTAGGCATTCCCATTAATCAAGTTTATTCCACATATTGCAACCCCGTATGTAAATGTACTGTCTGTAAGTTAGAGAAGGAGATGGATACCCTGGATTTTTTGTCATTGTTTGTTTCCATTTCTAATGACTGAGATTATTAAAGGCTAGATACTTTGTTGCCCAGAAAAAAAGTCCATAATAATATATACTAACTTTATGTAGCTTCTTTACTTAAATTGATATGACTTCTCGTGATGCTTAGAAAATCCCAAGGCTAAGCTCAGTTATTCAGATTCGGTCGGGAGCCCAATAACATAAAAATCTCGAGCTCCCTTAATCTGCACTTCAAAGGAAGCGGAGTGGAAGACAGCTGGCAACTACTAAGCTTCTCTTCAATGGAAACAGACACCAGTCTAGGCACCATATTCGCAACTCCCCAATNCGGGAGCCCAATAACATAAAAATCTCGAGCTCCCTTAATCTGCACTTCAAAGGAAGCAGAGTGGAAGACAGCTGGCAACTACTAAGCTTCTCTTCAATGGAAACAGACACCAGCCTAGGCACCATATTCGCAACTCCCCAATTACTCCGCANTGGAAGACAGCTGGCAACTACTAAGCTTCTCTTCAATGGAAACAGACACCAGTCTAGGCACCATATTCGCAACTCCCCAATTACCCACTGCACAAATCAAGCAAAATGTTATATAAGGGAGGCGAAGAACACCGGCAAGCAATGAGAGTTTTATTGGATTATCATATAACTTCCCCTTTATCAATATATTTCTCATGAGTAAGAGACTCCATTGAAGAGTGGATTAATCGNGGGAGGCGAAGAACACCGGCAAGCAATGAGAGTTTTATTGGATTATCATATAACTTCTCCTTTATCAATATATTTCTCATGAATAAGAGACTCCATTGAAGAGTGGATTAATCATACTCACGAGCTGGTGAATCACTATAATTTTTCTGTGTAATTGACCACATTCTCCTAAATTCTTGTTCCCAAGAGTCTTGAAACTCAAATTGAATACTTCAGTGCACATTGCATTCTCCGTTCTGCTCAATTGCGTTATACACATCATCAACTTCAATGGAGACTAAATCCATTTTACTGATTGGAACATATAATTGGAATCCATCAACTTGTTTACACAGTGAATGTCTTCTACTTATTGCAGTATCACGTATGAAAATTCAACATCGGTAGGAAAAATAAGCGAAAAGTGTCTCAATATATACTGAGCTTACTAACTTAAGCTTGTAAATAGATTTGAATTCTAAATATGTATATTGAGCCTGCTTGTGTTTGATTTTGCTTTATCTCCGCACAAATGGCATGAATCGCTGCAAGAAACTCAACATGTACACATGGAGATTCAAGAAGAAGAGAAGAAGATCAACAGTAAAACGAGAATGTGAAATGGTGATTCAAGATGAAGAGAAGAAGATCAAGAATAAAAGAATGATGTAAAATGGATATTAACACGATTTACATTCATACTGAAATTGAACTTGCTTATTACTCTTTTTGGGACCAACACCAACCATTACCATACATTTCAATTGCTAGTTGTGGTAGTTGAAGTTACTACCATACAAGATAACTAGGAAAACCCTCCATCAGAGGGCAACAAGCTCCAACATCAAGCTAAAGAAAAGATAAACAAGATTATATGGAGAATTGCTAAGCTGTAGCGTATCCAGATCCACGGCCGACCATCGACAGCAAGGCTTTCTTCATGATCACAACCGAATAGCGTCCTCGAAGCCCACCATTCCTGTCCTTACCAATGCCAAAACACAACCATGAACTATCCGATCCCGCCAACGCTTCATCACATATCATACCATCAAATGATGATGAGCTGGGAGTCGAATATCGCCTCCGTCTAAGGAAGCTGGAATGTGTGCTTGGAACTGACATCGATGAATGTGATGATGACCTCGATGAAGATGATAAAGATGATGATGAAGATAGTGATTGTGGCACATGGGCTTTCTTCAGATTGATCCTTCGGAATAAATTGTGAAAAATTTTAGATCTCGAGTCCTTGTCTACTGTTTTCTTGTTTCCATTGTTGAAATAGTAGGATGGAGGTGGTGTGAGGGGAGGGAGAGAGGTGTCACAAAATGTATGTTTTGGGGTACCAGGCTGAGACTCCCACACGAATGGGACTGCCCCGGAGACACCTCCATAGTAGACTCTGAAAGAAGGGTTGGCCATGGAACTGTCCTTAGACACAAGCCTAGAGAAGAACTTGTCATCTTGCTTGATTTGCAGGGACTTCCGGTTCCGGGGAAGATCAGGGCTACTACTACTGAGCATATTAGGTTGATGGGGACTGACCAACCAAGAAGGAAATGAAGAAGGAGAAGAAGAGAGGAGAGAGATAGCTAAGCTTAGTATGTTTTCGATTAAAAATGGCACACTGAAGTCATATGTATAAAATATATATATAGCACATGCAGTTTGTGTAATGACATTAAGATTTGTGTCAATATGGTATCCCACACTAGAGCTTTAATGACAAGAACTAGCTTGATTAATATGTAAGTCATTTTGACCATTTATTGTGCTCATTAACGGTTTGGAAAAATCTAGAATCTGTTTACTCATACCGTAGTCTGCCTATAAATCCTCCACCAGATCTCGAAGCAAACGGATCACTATGGGCGATCCCACTAAACACTTTGGTTAAAAAGGGTACTATTGTAACTTCATCAAACTTGATTGTAACTTTAACACTGCATAGCAATTTTCTAGGACAGTCTGATCTCTCTCTTTATACTTTACTTCGATTCATAGTAGATGTTGTGCAGTTCTATACATAAATATGTGTGTTTAATTTTGTTACGTGATTGTTCTTGCTTTTTCTCATTTTCTCATTTTATTAGGTAACTCGTGTTTGAAGATCTAGTGTAATATGAATAGTTTTGAAAGAAATAATGATAATTATTACATTAATTTATTTAAGATTGTCGTATAGATTTAGAGTAATGTTACACTGACCAAAATTAGAGACTAAAAAATGTAATCAAATGACATGGTAACGTGGAAGGCAGTTGACCAATTACTGTGCAATATTGAATACTCACATTGTGCAAATCAAATAAAGAAGTAAATTAATATTGCACAGTAATTGATCAGCCGCCTTTCACATTATTTGTCATGTCATTTGGTCACTCCTTTTAATCAGTGTAGTATTACTCATCTATTTATTAAAATTTGACATGTTTTATATTATAAATTGTCATGACATAGTAGATCTTTAATTATGAATGTTAGCCATGACATGTTATACACATATTTTGCATCCAAATCTTTATATGTGAAATATTGTTGTTGGTATATGATATAATATAGCGCTGTAGTTAAGGGCTACCTCTCAATGGCATGCAGGTTCCATGAATTTACATCACAGGTGATGTACGAAGGTCCGGATGAGCATGGACGGCCCTCTGAACAACCAGATCTGGTGTACATGGGAGTCACTATTATTACGAGTAATGTTACATAGAATTAAAAAGTAGACTTGATAATCTTAACCATTGATTTCATTGTTGAGATTATCAAGTCTAATTTTATTTTTTAAATCTATCTAACATTATTCTATTATTTATGGTAGTCCTTATGGTTAGGTCTGAACCAATTAATGAGTGACAAGGGTCACCCAGTGGTCCTCAACACCATGTCATCGGCTGTGGCAAGGTAATACTTAAATGTATGTACCTGTGCGGGTGACTGGGAGAGAGAAGTAGAATTGAGTCGCAAGCTGTAATAGGAGTTAACGGGTCAATAAATTTTGATCATTATTTGATAGTTGAATTTGAACACATGATAAGTTGTACGTACCGAAAAGTGTTATTAGAATGACTCTATTATGGCCGAGCAAATAGTTAGGTTATCCGGGTCGAGCAGAGCAAGTAATTAGGTTATCCTGTTCGAGCTAAAATAGGTCCGACCTAGTGGAGGATAAAATTCGACCGAACAGACAACTAGGTTGTTCCGGCCGAGCAGAGGATGAGATCCAACCAAGTTGTCATCAAATAACAACCGAGCAGATCAGAAAGCTCAGAAAGGAAGGAATGAGCTCGGTCTTCGTCACGATCGGATTGTTTAAAACAGTAACATGGTATTAAAAAGATGTCTACAATTCAAGCATTCTGGTTAAACGAATAGGCTCAGTAGAAGGAATTGCGAGAGAAATCTTAGCAACTTCCTGAACAAAATAACCTGATTAGGGGAAGGTGTGTCACCTTGAATCGACAAGCATGGAAACCCTAACTGAATAAGGTCTATAAAAAGTTAAATGAGCCAAGGTGAAAGGTACGTTGAACTCTCCTTGTCTTTTTGCAATTGTCTCAGTTCTACTTTGCAATCTTATTCTTCACGAAATAGATCCTATGGGTTTGTTTGGTTAACAAGAAAATGGTGAAAAATGGGAGAATGAAAAAAAAAGAAAAAAATTTGGCATTTGCTAAGGAGGAATCAACTGCTTCTCAGGAAAAAAACGAATTTCCCACGTGATTAGATTTTTTTGCAATTAAGGCTTTCTATGTTCTTACAAAATCTGCACAAAATTTATTATTTCTTTTTTGTGAAACTTTTATTGTTTATTACTCTGCCCCTATTTTAGCACACCACAACTCCTTCCGGTACTTATCTTCTTAGCCGACTAATCAAGGAAGTTTACCTCTTTCATTTCTGCACACCTATGAAAAAAGTTGGTGATCTCTACACGTTATGTTAAACTACTTAATATAAAATTAACAGGTATGATTTTGTTTCGGTTGGATTTGTTCATAAATAAATCGACACAAAATTAATTAAACATGACATAGAATGCGCAAAGCATGACTCTAATTTATACCTAGTCATTACTAATCCTAGCAATAGGCATGACAAATGAATGTTCGAGTAAAAGGCCATGCATGATGCATACTTCTTTTATATTCACCTATACTTTAGTCTTGATTAATCTATCTCCCAACAAGTATCATACCATATTTATATATGCTCCTCAATATCTTCGAAGTCTTGAGTTCTTTGTAAAATGTCATAATTATCTAATTATAATCCTTCACATGCAGGCGTCAGCAACAAATCCTTACAAAAAGCCTTCGACTTACTATTTAACTTGTGAGGTATTCAGTACTCTAGTGAGCAGACACCATCATGAAATTCACCATCAATGGGTCCTCCTGCCTGTAGCAGTGACACCCTTCAATTTTTGTATGGCAAAAAACGAAGACAACGGCCGCACTCATTGAGTGCCATCACCCATCAATTTCTTTTATTTTTTTAGAGTGTTCTCAATGTATACAGATCTTTTAAATTTAATTTATTTTTCTCAAAAAATTGATTCGTATAAGTTTTACGATCATTCAATAAAATCTATGGAATTGCAATTAATTATTGAACTAAATTAAAGTTTAGAGGATCTAAATACGTCATGGATTCAATCACAATGTAATTAATTGGGATTGGGTGGTTAATTGAAATCCACCGTGAGCTTGTTTGGTTCCTTATTCTATTTTTTTGTTATTTTCTTGTTACCCTATTTAATTCCACAAAATAAAAATGCAAAGTTAACTAAATAAAAAAGGGAGTGTCTGTGCAGCCCTTACTCACATAATTCTTTATAATAGTCGGCACTCACGCTTTGAGAGTAAATTTTTTGTGAATTTGCTCTCTCATTTTACAAAATTTGTGACTTTATAATCCTACTTACTTATATGCTTACTCATTATTATTTAAATTTTTATTTGAAAAGTATTGACTTATACATAAATATACATATCAAAGTAGAATAATATTTATAACGTATAATTGCTATTTCATGACCTTATAATCAATACATTTTTAAAAATATTAAATAGTTTCCCATGTAGTTGCGCATGAACTTTAATTTTTATATTTAATTTTTATTAACTTTTATGGTTAATATTTATCTTGATGTATATAATATGACTCTTTCAAGGTATTCCCGCTCTTAAATATTTTTTAGGGATTTTTGTAGATCGATACACAATATAGGACTTAATTGTTTAAAAAACTTCAGGTAAAATTATTTGTAGAGAGGTCCTTTTTATTTGTGAATGTCAAATATATCAAAGTGCAAATTATAATCGGCGCAACCTCGTGGGTTTGGAAACAACCGAAATTCAACCATCATTTCCATAAAATCCAGCCACTAAGATATCGCGTAAAACATGATGTTTGAAATTCAAACAAAAATTATCATAAATTCATGAGATTTCAACCAAATTAAAAAAACAAACAATTGCAAATTGTGAGAACTGTGTATTGGCTATACATACGTTGGAGTACCATTGAAATCCGACCGTTAACTTTTTTCAATTGTAATCACCGACAATAAACAATGTGACATATCAGTGTTATATCATAGTGTAATAACACAATTTACACTTTTAAATGTGTAATTATATTTCTTGATTCTTACACAAATTAAATACTATGCTTGACACAGTGTGACAACCATAGTGTGACATCACATAATGCTTTTTAAGAACATGACAGTGATACACAGTGTAATAAGAGTCGTTAAAGTAACAAAAGAGTGTCGAACGTTGAAGTAGAAGAATAAAATATACGTTTAAAATTATAATATTTTAATTTATTAAAATAGGAAATTGTTAATATAATAAAACAAATCCCATGAAAAATGGAACTATCAAACTAAACAGTCCATGAATTATAAAAAAAAAAAAGATATTTCTATTAAAATAAGAAACCATTGATATAATAAAACAAATTCCACGAAAAAGAAAAGTGTCAAATTAAACAGTTCATAAATTATAGGTATTTCAGTAAATAAAAAATTTTAAAAGTTGTCATTATGTATTTAGACACAATACATTTTCAACTAATAGTACTTATCTACAATACTTTTTTAGCAAGGTATTTTTCCACAAATATGTAATTTATGTGGTACCTATCGACAATTTTCTGTATTTTTAAATTTTTTCACTTTTGTACTCCCGCTCTTGCTCCAGCCTCCACTTCTGCTTTATGTGATTTAGGTGTAGCCTTCTTCAACGGACATTTGCTTAGCTACTCTAGTGGGCTACCCTTTGCAATTTACTGGTAATCAAGCTAGAAATGTTATTTAATTAATCCAATGAAAGAAAGTGATGCAGTGAAGCAAGTACAAAGAAAGGAATAAGTAATGAAAATGAATGATGAAAATAAATCGTCGATTTATGCACAAATATTAGTTTAAAATCCAAAAGGATGGGGATGAACAGCTGTCGAATATCCACATATATTTGTTTGGCAAATATCCATTTATAAGTTGGTACTTTTTCATGCTTAGACATGAATTTGCAATGTCATTCATTTGAAATATATCCATGTGGGTTCGTTTGGTTAAAAAGAGAATGGTGGAAAATG